TGTGTTATTCAGGTTGTTTCCCAACCTCCGTCGCAGGGACTTTCCACCGGCTGGGAAAGACCCTGCTATCGGCTGGTCACGTGTCTCCCAGAATCTGGGAGATAACAAACAATTTCAATTAGGGTGGGTACCTAAGTACGTTTTGTCTCATTGAGCAAGGAGTGAGCGAAGAAATAACCCAGAAATCATGCAGGAAATATTTACAAAATTGTATATTTTTATTTGTCATGAATACTATCAATGTAACCTTTATTAACTGTGATGTAAATATCAAATTTCATTGTGTGCAGAATGTCGGTGAGCAAAGATAGATCAGATTTCAATAGACAAATTTAATATGCCGATACAGCTCGTCGAAGAAATCAACACGTCGCAAACGTTACAAGAAAATATATTTCTACACCAGTACCGAGCGATGTGGCTGTTATGTAGCTGTTGATGTCTATCCTAAAGGATTTATTTAATACTGAGATGTGTAACGAAATATAGAGATCTTTTGATTTCTGAAATATCGCAAACTATGTTGCTTTGTATTAAACAATGCTACTCAATGAAACTTCAGAACCATCCTAAGATATACGGAAAACCAGATATCTGTTGAAACTTGATCAGATGCTCAAGAAATATGTCGAAGTATACCTCCCTGTTATCAAACCTACGGTAAAATAATCCGACAATAGCCTACTCAAAGATAAGTGAAAGACTCGTTTGTGCGCATAGTCGGGGAGTTTTTTGGGCAGTCGGGCAATATTCGATCAACAGTCGGGCAATTTTGGTTTGCAATAAAAAAAATGGGACAAATTCTGTCAATTTTGTCTAAAATTAAGTTAATTTTTTGGCAAATTTTGTGATATTTCGAAAATTTGTGTTATGTTCCGAAAAAAATTGGTTGTCCGGAAAATTTTTTTGACCCCTAAAATGGTACACTGAAAAAGTCGGGCAATTTTCTTTCCGCCCCCCTAATTTTTTCCTTCCGGTACGCCCATGATTTCATGACTTAGGGGCGGACCATTTGACTTTTGAGGGGGAGGGGGGTTGGAAGATTCAGACTGTGCAAGAATTTTTTTCCCGCCCAGGCGAACAAGACAGATATTTTTTCCTGTAAAAGTGCAGCGCAAGATTTTTTTTGCCTCTCATAATAACGGCTTACAGTAACTTAAGGCTTTCATATAGCTATCGTCAGAGACGTAGCTGGGGTTTTCAGTCAGAGGAGGTCGAGAACTGAATCCCAAGAGGGGCCAAGGAATTTTCACTGTGCTTTATTTTATATGGTTATTGGTTATGTCTTAATGTTCCCCACATTAAAGCGTGCAGGTGTACTTACAAAAAATGTATAACTGCACCAAAACCTAAAACGTGCAGGGACAGAGTATAGTACTCGAAAATGGGGGGAGGGTACAGTATATGAATGACCACTAACCTTGGGGGTTCGGGGGCATGCTCCCCCGAGAAAATTTTAAAATTTGAACCTCGGAAATGCCATTTCCTGCGTTTTCAG